AATGAGATGCTCAAACATCTTGGCCCTAAAACAAGGAAAGCATTCTGGTATATTATTTGTGGCTGTCTTGATACTTCGTTATTACCACATCGATGGAATCATGCCTTTATTTATCCAATTCCTAAACCAAAACCTTGGGAATATGACCTTAATAACACCCGTCCTATAACACTGTTGGAATGCCCACGCAAAGCACTTATTAAACTCCTTAACCAGAGATTATCCACTATCATTATCCAACACAATGTCCTTAAGGGTCTTAATTTTGCTGGCCTTCCCTTTAAATCCACATTTGAACCATTGCACATTCTAGATAATGTGAAATATGATGCAGATCATCACAAAAAAGATCTCTGGATACTTATGCAGGATATGTCTAAAGCATACGATCGCGTGAATCTCTACATGCTTTGTAGGGCAATGGAGCGTCTTCATATCCCTAACTCATTTATTCATTTTGTCATAAAAATGTTTGGCAATAGATTTAATCAAATATTCACACTTTTTGGAAATACCGATTCATATCGCGTCTTGTCAGGTATAGACCAAGGAGAAATCTTGTCACCACTACTGTGGTGCATTTATTATGACCCACTTCTTTGTAGAATACAGAATTCAACTTTAGGCTATTCCCTCACACACACATGGAAACCCAACGTGTTACTTAAAGAAGATGAGACCGATTCAATCAAAATATCGACATTGGCTTACATGGATGATACTTTGTGGATCGCTAAATCACAAGAAGATTTATCACAAATTCTGAATATAGCTGATAGTTTCTATAAGCTCAATTTTATTAAAGTCAACTGGGACAAATCGGTTTTGTTGATTAATAATAAAAAGAATAATCAACCGTTTAGTTGTATGATTAATGACAGTCCAATGAACATCACACCACTACCTAATAAAGAGTCAACCAAATATTTAGATATATGGATTTCTCTTTTCAGAAATAAATCATTTACGTTCAAGATGGTCAGTAATGAAATCAAAAGCACAATCAACATTATATTCAAGAAGAAATTAACAGATAAGCAATTGGTTTACATCTTTAACACTGTTGTAATTCTAAGAATTGAATACCGATCGCAATTAACAGCATTTATCTCTCTACAATGTGACCAACTTGTAATGCCATATCGTTCCTTCTTGAAAAAGAAATTACATTTATCACGGGCTACTCTGTCATCAGTCATACACTTGCACCTTTTTTATAACCTTTCTAACTTCCATTCGAGGCAGTTAGAAGTATAGAGTGAGGCACTTCTCTATTCACTCAATGACACAAATTTGTTGGGAAAATCGACAAAGCTCTGCATACGTCAACTTCAACAAGCGGAATGGTTATATATATCCCTCTTGTTGATTGGCCATATCTTAAATGCAATAAACCCAATGATTGGATCGCTAACGTTCTGTGTGAATGGAAGAATTTAAACTTCTCCATACAAATTCCTGATGTGGATTATCATTGCATCAAAGGAGGTTTAACTCTCATACAACACATACTACCCAATGAATACCAGAAGTTTGCCACACACTTAAGAAGGATGTCGCTTATTTTTACAGAACAACTTTCTACATCAGATGGTAACACTATGTTAACTCTTTTCAATTTAACGGTTTATCAGAATTCCCCGCAGGTTAGACGTGAACCTGCTTGGTTTAATCGGCTACAAACCCTACTAATGTTGATATCACCTCAAGAGAACTGAGACAAAAAACACCACATATCAAAAACTATTATTTTGACTTTTCTCCTCTGGTAAAAATAGCTAGAACACACCCTTACGTACTTGGTTAGAATCTAGGTGACAATCAATCTTTTACTGACAAACTTCTTAAAACAAGTACCAACTTGGCGAATGTTATGCATGTCATACCTACTTCAAGCTCTAGTCATAGAACCATACTTACACCCTGTACCAGGTGTATTTATCACAATTCTTGTACCAAAATTCCACCACAGACGAAAAATAGTGAAAATTGCTGTTTCTTTACTATTCCTAGAGATCTTTGTTTTTTTATTCCTACACTTCGTAATAATAGTGTTGAAAGGTTTCCTTGGTGTTCATGGTCACAAAATCTCATTCATGATCTCGCTCTTACTTTAGTCAATCAACGCAATAATCTTCACCTTCGTGTTCCTGCTACCTCCTTTATTCCTTTAATTCCTCCTTCTTTTATTGAACGATTTATTCCTTCATCATACTCTGCGACTCTTCTAACACTTAAATCAAATTTTAGTTCGTCTACTAATTTAGAATTTTATACAGATGGCTCTCTCATCTCTCTTGGCAACCCTGCACTTAGAATGGGTTTGGCTTGGTTACAAACGAAGCCTTCTGCTCCATTATTATCATATTCTTCTGCATTAGTAACTTCGTTCCCCTCATCATCTATTGTGGAAGTAGCAGCTGTTTTCACTGCAATTTTAGTTGCACTACCAAATTATCAGATCAAAATATACACAGATTCTAGTATAGTGATATCACAATTTAATAGATATAAGCTTTTATCACTTATATCACCATCTCAATGACCTTTCTTAAAAATCAATAACGTATACTTATGGCATAGACTTTTTCAAATCATCAACGCTTTATCTCTCTCTGTTACATTTCATAAGGTTAAAGCACATTCAGGCGACCCAGCAAATGAAGCTGTTGATAAATTGGCAAAGGCTGCATTATCCTCTCCTGCTCTCAACTTTACAATCAATGACCAAACCCATACATCGATTAAATTCAATGATCTTATGATTGCTTCTCCAATCCGATTATTCGTTAAAGATTATTTACGTGTAAATACTTTTATAACATTTTTAAACCTTGACTATAATCATTGGTACTCTTCGTTAGCAGTAGATTGGGTATCTACAGCATTCTATATCTCTGACAATAGTTCTTCATTCACTACCAATTTCAATGCCTCGGCATTTAAACGAAAGAAAATACTAAGACTCCTTGAGATGCTACCAACATTAGAAGTGCTTAAAATCCGTCATCCTGCATTATATGACAACTCGTGAAAATGCAACCTTTGCAACATTAAATTTGAAATTTTTTTTCATATATGGACCTGCATTACGGTTTACCAGTAATTAAATGCTATTAGTGACTCTTCAAAATTACACCTTGCACAATTAACTCAATGTGATAATATCAAATATATTGATCAGCTTAATATATGGTTTATGTCTATGAGTACACCTTTCTCTTTCATTGATCTTATTAAAGGAGTTGTTCCGACAATTCTATTCAAGTTTATAAACGCAATGCTCACGTCGCAAGATGATGCTAGAGCTGCTACGTCACAATTTATGCACTTCATTTTTGAACACACACAGGTGATTTGGTGTGAAAGATGCTCAATACAAAAAGAACTTGATGCTTCTCTAAATATTGCAGATTCGCTTAAAAAAATACACACAAATGCTACGGGATATAACATATTTTCTTCACGTAATACTTTTTCTTCTTCCTCTCTAATAGATAGAATAGTCCGTTTAGGATCACACTGGACAAATTTTTGGTACTGTAGGGGCTGAGTCTTTTTCCTTTTCTGATTGCTGGAATATGATAACATGGTTTCGGTTGTGTTAGATTCTGGAAAAGTGCAGGGTCGGTCTTGATTTAGATAGTTTCATGATTATTTAAATAGCAATTTTTGTAAATTCTGAATATTTGTAATTTTTTAATTATTTTTCAATAAAGTTTTTGCAAAACTACCGCACTTTAAAAAAAAAAAAAAAAACAAAAAATGGAAAAAACTTTCTCTCTCTCTCCCCAAAAATGACCTGAAATACAAGAAAAATTAGAGAGCAGAACAACAACCAACAAAGAGAGCTCTTAGCGTCACCTCTGCAACATAGCAACAACAAAAAAGAAATACAACCCAAACACTTTAAGTGCCACTAGAACAAAGTACTTCACAAATAATCACTCCAGTGGTTACTACCCATCGTCTAACAACAAAGGAAAAGCTTCTGAAACATTAGAAAATACTCAAGGAAATTTATACACCACCCCTCTCAGCGTTGACGAAAGCTATAACTTATCAGAAAACTTTTTAGACCTAAATACGCCTTCTGTACAAGCATTTAATAGACCTAAACCCTCCTTTATGTTTTCTTTCCTCTTGAAGACTTTCCAGGTACTTCGCTTCAACAAAAAATCTCTTCGATCATTGATCTCCTATTTGACAAATATGTCTCATTTATTGGGCAGTCTCAACAAAACATCCAGTAATACCAACCGTACGTATTATCAAGTTCTCATTTTGCGATAAAGAACAAAGAGATCATGCTTATTCAGTTCAATTACCAAATCTAGAAAAATGCATGTTTCTACCCCTAGATGTAATACTAAATTTTCTGTATATCCTGATGCAATCGATCAAGATTATTGAAATACCTCTAAATTCGACAGAACATCAGATCAAAACTACTTTTAGCCAATTTGGGAAGATCGTCAGATTTTATATGAAAACAAAAAACATGTGGCAGCAAGTATGCAAATGATGCTGACTTTAAGAAATTGAAATCATGCAATAGTGTATTCGTATTTAATGATATGGTTAGGATACATATGTATAACCTAAATGGCAAAGATATACCATACGTGATAAATCGAAATTTTCAGCAAAACTAGCTGGTTTACCTAGAAACACTAATGGCAAGCATCTTATCGACATCAGTCATTTGATGCATGCGACTGTCTGGATTATTCTCAAGGTTCAATCTAATTATCGTAACCTGCAACGTGCATTTTTTTATTTTCCTTCAGATGATAATATGAAAGCAGCAATTAGTAATGAAAATCTTACTATTGACGGAAAGCACGTGATATGAACAGATACCAGTGCCAAACTTTGTACCATTTGTTTATCGCCTAATCATAAAGCCAGTGAATGTTCTAAACGTAGAAAAACTCCTGCAGACTATAATATGCAAAATTTATATCAATGTTTTCAATCAGCGCAATTTACGAATTACAAAGCATTACCAAAAAAATTATTAGACGCAGTCAACCCACATATAACGTTTGCTCATATGACCCAAGGGGAGACAATAATGGACATGGAAAAGAAAATGAGTGCAAACTAATTAATAATTCAACGAAGAATGCTTCCCATTTAAACCAACAGCAACAAATCAAAAATAATATTATCTCACTGACAGAATCATGGTCTAACGATATTTATAATAATCTAGAAAGGGAATACCATTTTGATCAGATGAGCTGCTTCACACCAGGAGGTAACATCAAAAATAATATCAAAGCTGAAGACTCCATGCATGCCAAATCTGATGAGTCCTTTGAAGAGTTTGTTAAATAACAATTTAGTAACCTGGCAGAACAAATAAGCTTGCTTGTGAATACACTTGCCTTTACAGTTAAGAGAGTCGAATCTGTTGAATGATCATTAAATTTTAAAGTAGTGACATCTGTGGAGGCTGACGCCTACAATAGGCCTGTTCAATTCTGATTGATGCATTTTTTGATGCATATTGTAATTAACCAATCACAATTTATAATTTTGATGTACAAAATTGAACAGAGTTGATGCATAGATTAATGGTATGACATATTCTAAAATGTCTAAAATAAGAAATAGAAAATGCGCTCCTTTTAACAACTATTCAAGAATTTCTTTATGAAAGTGAAAGTGATTCTGAAAAAAACAGTGATTTTGAAGAAGAAACTGAAGTTAATGATTTAATTACCTTTAATTTACTTTTACTTTCAGAAACAAGATATTCTAATACCCGTTTATATAATATTCCAAAGTCTTCTCACTGGTATTATGAAGTTTTACCAACTTATGATGATAACCGTTTTAAAAAAATATTACGAATGCCATTTGAACATTTTAAAACTTTAGTTAATTTAATTTCTGATCATGAAAATTTTCAAACTAAAGGACAAAAAAAACAAGCACCAGTAGAATTACAATTAGCAGTTTTTTTACACAGAATTGGAGGTAAAAGTAATATTTTTGAAATATGTCCATGATTTGATATTGCAGAAGGAACTGTAATTTTATATATAAAAAGAGTAATTAAAGTAATAATTTCAAAAAAATTATTATTTGTTCAATGGCCAAAAGGAGAGCAGCGAAAATTAGTTCATAAAGGATTTCAATTAATTGGTGGATTTACAAATGTAATTGGTGTTATTGATGGAACTCATTTAATTTTAAACAATAAACCTTCTAATTCTCCGGAATTATATTTTAATCGAAAAAAATGTTACTCAATTCAACGTCAAGGAATAGTAAATTTTCATGGAATTTTTATTAGTTATGATATAGGTTGGCCAGGTTCAGTACATGATGCAAAAGTTTATAAAAATTCAAGTTTTTATAAAAAAAAAATGAATTATTTATCAATAATGATTATTTACTTGGAGATTTCGCATATCTAATTTTACCATTTTTAATAATACCTTTTCATTTATCATCAAATCAACAACAAAAAAAATTTAATTTAATACATTCAAAACATAGGGTTGTAGTAAAAAATGCTTTTGGAAGATTAAAATCAAGATTTGTTTCTTTAAAGAATGCTTTGTTAAAAAAGTTAAACATTTAATTCTTTTTACTGATTGCGCTATAATTCTTCATAATTTTTTGGAACTTAATGGAGATATTTGGGATTTAGATTTAGATTTAAATTTAGATGTAGATAACAAAAATCAAGAAAATAATGATTTTAATGATAATGAATTAAAATTAGCAGGTCAACACAAAAGAAATAATATAATGTTTGATAATGAACTTTATTATGAATAAAAGTTTTATTGTTTATTATTATATTTAAATTCCATTTCTTTTAATTGTCTTTTATGTTTTAATTGAACTTTAAGTTTTTCAACCTCTGTTTGTGCTTTTGATTTTTCAATTTCTAATTTATCCTTTCAATTGCTAATTCTTGATTAGCTCTTTCCTTTCTAAAATTTAATTCTTTTTCTTGTAATTCATACTTTTTTTCCACATTTTTTCTCTCGCCAAACTCATTGCTAAAATAGCATCTCCAATAGAGTTAGTTGAAGTTTTAGATCTTTTGTTTTTAGATTCAATAACTTGTTTTTCTTGTTTCATAGATTCAATAT